ATTGACTTTAAATTATAATAGCATGACTACTTAAATCACGAAGGGAAAAAAATGCTCCAGAATGTCAAAGGAATGTAAAGGAAAAAAATATTGTTAGGTGGATATTTTTTAAAGTTATGACTCTGTATGGCAAAACCTTAAAAAATTATAAATCTGTAAAATCATTCCTATGCATATGCATGAGTTATAGGTTTATAATAAATGGTAAAAGCATACTGAGAATATGTTTTAAAACAAGGGAGTCTCTTTGAACAGCCAAATTAAATCATAGCTTGAACTCTCGAGTGTACTGGGGGTTCTAATAAGCAACAAATAAAGGCTTTTATTGGCTAGCAATATAATGAGAGCTACTGTGTAAGAGATGAAAAAAAGACAAATCTGGCTAGTTTATCTCACTGGATTATATTATTTACTTAAATGGCAAGTAAGTTTGTCTAAAGTAATGCTACTAAAAACTGGTATATAAATACTAAAGAGCAATTATGATCAATGACTCTTTAATGTAAATATATAACAAATTTTAGTGGGAAGGCTGAAACAAATGTGAAATTAAACAACAAATACTGAATTTAATACTGCTTGAGTTCTATTTCTTTAAGTTTAACATATATATGTTGATTCCTAATATATCAACTTAATAAATGGTTTACTACTTATGCCTATCACATGAGGTAATTATTTCAAAGGAGCACTCTCTCTAGAGTATAGCAGTTATATGTAGAACTACCTCAAAACCATTACACACAGAAAGGAGGTTGTCCTTAGTGAACTGAAAGAAGGTATCCCCCTCCTCAGTGACTTGGTAGGAAATTACTTTTAATAGAATTTGGAAGGTTGGCCTGTTAACAAGAGAACTCCTTCAGTTAACAAAATGACAAATTTAGCAAACCAAAATCAGATTTAAAATATATTTGGTTGGATGTTGCTTGATCTTCAAGTCACTTAAAAGGTAGAACCTTAGAAATCTTAGCTGACTACATGACTGTTCTTATAGAAAGTTCTGTTGCTTCTGTCTGAGCTTAAAAAAAAACCTACAATAGCCTCTCCAAGCCTAAACACTAAGCCAGTATTCTTTATGTACTTTTTCTACAACATTCTGATTGCCAGAGTGACTTTTTTAAACCTTAGGTATATCTAATAAAATCACGAGGCTCCCTCTAGCTCTTTAGAGAGGAGTTTACTAACCAATGGCCCTATGTAATTTCCACCCAACAGGAAAGGTTTGAGAAGGCTGCTGCTTCCCCTTCCACAAGAAATGTTTTCAACTGTTTCTTGTAAGGTTGTAGATGGTAAATTAGGCCATCTGCACAGGAATTCAGAAAACACTGCTCCCTATATCCACATCGAATTAAGAATCTATTAATTGCCTCCAACCTAAGCTTTATACACAAAATTCTATAATAAAACTTTAACCTGTTTAAACTACATCTACATTCCCAACTTAGATTTATCCATCTTTCTCAAATTAATTTTAGTCCCTAAAAACAAGCAATAGCATATATTAGTACCTATAGAAATTCAAACTTAAGATCTGGTTTCAGTCCTAAAAATCTATGTTTAAATGGAGAATCTTAATTTTTTTAAAGTGTTACTAACAGTGTATCTTTGGGGGTTATGGAAAACAAAGATGCTCATGGTAATTTGTAGAAAACATTTTCATGCACCACATTTATGCGCAACACTGGTAATTATTTAATTTTTTTGTTATTCAGTATTGGGTATTTGGGGATTGAAGTTATTTAGAAAACTATAAATAACGTAGTTGAAGTATGCCATTGATATTTAGTCTATCTTACAACAGCCATAAAACCCATATAGTCGACTGGCAAATCATTTCAAACAAGTGACTATGAAAAATACTAAATCAAACTCCTCATGTTCACTAGGACCATCTTTTAAATATGTAAGAAATATTTAAAATGGTGTGGAACCTTAACACTACAATTAAAAATAAAGGGAAGCACTAACTTCAAGTCATCACCTACTTTGGACTCCCTTAATATAAGGAATATTCACAGGAACAACAACAAAAAGAATAGCTCCCTGCACCCCCACCCCCACCCCTTTTGAGCCAGTGTCCAATTTCTTCTTTTCTGAACAGCTGTATTATCCAACTTAAGTTGCTCTGCTAATTTCAGTCCCACAAGGACTAACTTGGAAGGCAAAAAAATACAAGAAAAGATCAATTTGCTGGGAAAGATCAAATGAGAAAACTGTGGGGACAGCACCAGGTCAGCGTGTGGAGAACTAAGCAGACCTGTTCTTCATTAACTGCTGCTCTCTGGGGATGTCACACACTACCTGTCCATGGGCTTTATTGAACCGCCTAACCCGCCTCTCTGTTCCATTCTTCTGGGCCCAAGTGAATCATATCCTGCTGCTGACAAGTTAGCAGGGGACTGCGGCTGCAACATGAAAGTACTTTTCTTTCTTGTCTAAATCAGGCAGATTTTTGAAAAGACGACACAGCATTGACTCGTGACATGGCAAGATGAAACGAGAGGTCTGGGCTGGTCTTGGAGCTGTGCAGATAAAAGTAATCAAATGACACTCCTGGAATGCAAATTGGCATTCTTGACTGCAGCAATTGCACAACCATGAAACATCCCTGACAGCAAGCAAGATTAGGACAAAATGTTATGTAAAGCACTGAACTCAAAAACTCTCACTTGAAAATTCAAACTGTAACACTTACATTTTAATACAGCAATAGTCAGCTCTGCTTTTGTCTGCTTCTTTCTGTAATCATATATCCCTGCCTGACAGCTATCTTACATTTCAGGTAGAAGGAAAAAGAAAAAACATAAGATATGAGGAATGTACAATTACTATTAATATTTTCTTTATATTTATTTTTTTAAATCACGAGGTTGCTTTTTTTCAATTTTACAAGCAAACTCCAAACTCAATATTCTCAAGGGGAAAGAAGACACTTTCAAACTTTTCTCACAAGATTCTCAGAGTTCACATTCAGGCTCTGTATTACTTCCCTCAGGTGAAGATACTCCAGTACTTTGGTAAAGTGATTAGCAATCTGGATTTTAAATACTCTGTTCTCCGGGAATAGAGGAGTAGCTACAACTGAGAACTTCATTAAGGCTGAACAGTTTAAATGAAACAGCTACAAATATAACATAAAATGCAGATACCCTATAAAGGTTCATAAGGGATTTGGGGGGTGATTCCAAAGGGTAAAGGAAGTTCTATTAGCTTGTACAAGTTCTCGCTCCTCTTGAGTGCGTCCTCAGATCAGACATACTAAATAAGACTGCCGGAAAATAAATTCTCCCACTTAAAGCAAGAATGTGTGTGCAGAGTCACATCTGAAACTGCAGAACACAAAGCAGTAGATGACAAATGGGCTTCATCACTGTTCCAAGTGATCAGTATTTGGGAATAGATGTGCAGACAAATAGTATATAGGGAAAGGGCAAGGAGAAGAAAAATAATACCTACAGCCGGCTTTTACAGTTTTCATGTATAAAATGCCGCTACAAGAAAAACTCTCAAGTGCTAAACAGATATATTTAATATTTTGTTTTGACGCCTCCACTTAAACACAAGTTCCAACCATTGCAACTGTCCATGAAATACATAAAAAATAGTGAAACAGGCCACTTTCTGCCACTTTAATCCTGAGTACACAGGATTATTTTATGATGTCTTTTGTACATCAGTTTTACAATAGCTTGACTCTAGGGTAAATGGGAAGCACTGTAAATTGCATGCTGCTTTCAAAACCATTTTAATTTGTCAGCGTTACTGTAACCACAGTCTTGGGCACACGCTATTTTGTGTGTGTGTGCCTGCATTTGACAGTCGCATCTCCTACACTCCAGTCGTGACTTTGATCACTGAAACAAGAGATGTCACATTAGGGGGAAGGGAAGAAGGAAAAAAAAAAACCTGCCAACTCGATACCTGCCTTTTTCTTACATATTCCATTTACATGTGGAACACAATATGTGAGATCCCCAAGTGGGGGTAACAGCGGCAGCACAGGGTGGAAACAAACTAAAAGGAAGGGTGTGGTCTAGCCCCATTTCTAAGAAATCACTTCCCCGAAAGCGGACAGAGCGCCGGTCGGCGGGCGAACTATCCGCGTGCCGCCACGGTGCCGAGAGCCGCTTCCAGTGCAGCGAGACTGTGCTGGCAACTCGCTCCGCAGCTTCTCCGCCACTACCAGCACTTGGAACTTTTTTGTTTCAATCTCAACCTCTCTTCATGGGGATTTCATCCAGGGTTTTGTGTTGTTGTTTTTTTTTTTAATTATTCTGCCCCCTCCCGGGGCCCCAAATGCTATCCCGTAGTCCACGTGTAAGTAAAACAAGTAGGCTCCTCTAGAACTGCGCCTGAAAATCTCTCTCTGGGGTTTATTTTCCTGCCTGAGTTTTGCAAATTCTTCATAAAGCCTCCAGGAGCACTTCCTACAATTTCTTCATTTACAAAGGAAGGTTTCCCCGACAGGAGGGAGAGGGAGAGCAAAGCCAAGGTGCCGGGGACCCGGTGGCCGAGTACTCCTTCACCGCGCGGCGCACCGGCGCGCCCCGGCGCCCACGCCCAGCCGCCCGTCCCACACTCGCGGGCAAGTTTTGAAAGTTCCCGTTCTCCAAAATGCTTTCCTCTCCGCCCCAAGCTCCTTCCAGGGCTCCGTTCATTCCCCCACCTTCTCCCCAGCCCATCCCCAACTCCCTGGAGCCTGCCGCTCACCTTACCCCTCCAGCCGCGAGAGGGGGCGACGTTCACGAGCGCCCCTCACACACACCCTCCCACCTGGAACTCTCTTCAGAAACTTGGGCCAAGTTTTTCTGGGGGGGAGATATCAAGGGCACAGCAGGGGCCAGGTTGGACAGGGGTTCTCCTCCCCTGCCCGCCCTCCTCACCGCCCCCCTCCACCTCACGCCGCGGGACTTCAGAAAAACACGGCCCCCGGCGGCCCCGGGGCTCATTTCTTACGAAGTCTAGAATAGAAAAGGAAAAGGAGGGTGGAAACTCCTTACCATCTCGGCATGCTGGTTGTCAAGTGCAGCCCCCGCCTCTTGGTCTCCTCTTAGCGGCCGTGCCTGGACCAGCCCCTCGGCCGCTTCTCGCTCTTTCAGTCTCGGCCTTTCTTTCCCTCCCCCCCTCCCGGTTTCCTCCAGGCCGCCGCTCCAGCCGCCTCCGCCTCTCCCCGCCCGCCCGCCCGCGCGCGCCCTCGCCGCGGCCCCTCCGCGCTCAGGTGACTGATTTACACACGCGCCCCGGGTCGCCCTCGTTCCCCAAGTCCGAGCCTGCAGAGTTCCCCGGGCCCTACAGGGGGAAAAAAAAAAAAAAAAAAGGAACGGACAGTCCCGGGTGGGGGCTGCTGCGGGGGGGCGGGGGGGGGCGGGCGAGGTGACCCAGGGCGGATATGTAAACCCTACAAGGTTCTCTCTGCAAAACTGTCGTGATTACAATGTTGCTTCCCTTTCGCAAAATAAAAGTCGGGTTAGTTTTGCTGTTGTTTGTCCTCCGATTTCTAGGGGTTTCGTGAAGCAGGATGTATATTTCTCCCCCGCTCACCTCCCGCCCTGTGACTCCCCCCTCCCCCGCTCTTTCTGGGGATGGAAAACAACTTTGGCGCCCCCCGGGGTGTGCGGGCGTGGACGAGGAGGTGGCCGCTAGCTCCCAGCTGTCAAAAAAGAGAGAGAGGGGAGAGGCGGGGATGGGAGGCTGCAAACGCCGAGGAAAGGGCGCGAACTTTATTCCGACTGCAGCAAACCGCGGCGTCGCTTTCCTTTTCGGGCAATCGCCCGTCTCCGTCCCCTTTGACCAGTTCCTCCCCTCGAGCCACCGCGGCCGCCCCCTCCTCTTTTGCCCTTCCCCTTTTCCTCCCCGGTGCCCGCTTCGGCGCCCCGCGCGCCCCTCGCTTCTGTCTGCCCGGGTTCCCCGCGCTGGGGAGAGGGGTAGGGAAGCCGAGGAAACAAACCCCAGGGGACAGAAACTCGGGACGTGACGGTGCTGGGAGAAAAGGCACAAAGTTGCGCGCAGCTGGGAGAAAAAAAAAAGTTTTTGGTGGCGGCGCGTTTTGTGCCGGCCGAGACACCGGCTTGCGGCGAGGGCTTCCTTCCCCTTCCCCCGGCCGGGGCCTCGCGCAGAAGACGGAAGGGGACTGCCTCCTCCGCGGGCGCCCGCAGGGGACGACCAGTCACGTCTGTGGATGACACTCAGCCGAACCGAGTCGCCCTGCCCCGGAGACGCAAAAACCAGCAGGCTGCAAGCTCTGCGCGTACAAGCCTGTAGCTGAAGGACATTTCTTAAATGCAGGCAAAACACACTCCCCGGCCGCAACAAGGGGAGGAGGGCGAGTTTAATCATCTTCTTTCTAACGTACGCTTTGGGCCAAAAACATAACATCTCCGCCTTGTGCAGATTTATCATAGCTAGAGCAAACTCTGTGCTTATCGGGCAGGAGAGGAAGGCACTGGTTTCAAGCATACTCCCCGAGCACTTAGAAATCAGAATCTGCCAGGGCGAAGACTTGCTTGGCAGAACAACAGGTTTGGTTACTGGTTACCACTGAAAAGAGAAAATCAACCTTCCTTTCTCTCTTCCCTGAAGGAGAGAGAGGGAGAAACAGTTTAATTGCATTCAGAGGTCAGAATTCAATTCCTTTGAAAATATGCAGCCCTAGAATTACCTAGTTCTCTTTTCTTTGATGTGCAGTCTGGCCTTAAGTTTAATACAAATTTTCACAATAATTAAAAATTTTCTTTCAGGAGCCATGACTGACTCAGGCCCAAGTAGCCACAGCTGTTCTGAAAATGTGATTAGGCTTCTTCACTTGGTGAGCTTTTTAACAGTGGGGCCGTCGCACCTGTAGTTCCGTGTACTTACTGATTGGGTCCAAATTCCAGGCCTTTTTTAAGGCCCTTTCAAAATAAATTTCAGTTCACTTCGTTTGTAAATTCTCTGTATCATCTTCTTGTGAAAAGGTTTGTCTGGTAAACATTTGTACCGTATTATTTACAATGAATATCTTGGAGTTCTAGGCACATGGTTCATCTGGAGGTTTCTAGTGGGGAACAAAAGATGACTTGTCTCACTAAACTGTAAAAATATAGACTAGATAACTAATGACTATATATGTATATATAAATGCATGCTATCTAAGAAGGCTCATCTTTAAATTATTTGATTAAGGTGTGGAGCATGTTCCTTTATTCTGTAAACATTACTGTAACATCATCCTATAGTTTGTAGAAACTGATTACACAAGGGATAATGATGACCAAATGTGCATTCTGAGCAACTAAGGATCATCACAAGAATTATCCAGAAATGAGCCAAGGTCCAATGTGTTTTCCTGTGTTATGAGGAGATGAGAAAAGCTAATTTCAAAGTCATTACCCATACAAATCCATTCACACACTTACCACTTTGGACAAGTGACAGACCAGCAATTGCCAGACAATTGTATACACACTGCATTTTTGGCTACACACCTATACTGGCCAACAGGCAGAAGTTATTCCACATTAAGCAACCTGTAATTTAAATTCCCCTGATCGGTTGCAGATCTGTTTTTGATGTTAGTGTACAAACAATTTATGTGAGGTAAGATGTGTTTATTTGGGGTCCCGTACCTTTCTGGAGAGTCATCATTATAAAGATTGGGAATGTGTTAGGTTGAAGAGCAGCCCTTGGAGAAGGTGAAAGAATTTATAGAAGCAAAGCCTAGCACATAGTAGAATTCCACAGTCTGTTATTTCCTCCAGTGGGTTTGTGTGGCAATTCAAATAAACCTTAAGTCCTTTCTGTGTCCTGTGAGACCTTACTGGTTAACACCTGCCTGACTCTTTCAGCTGTTGTTTTTTTCATTTTTTCATTCCCCTCATACACTGCACTAAAGTCACACTGGCGTGCTCTCTGTTTCTCCACCTTGCCAAGCTCCTTCCTGACCTTTGCCCCTGCTGTTCTCTCTAGTTGGAATATTCTTCCACATTTCCCAAAGGTTCCTTCTTAGCAGTCACATCTCAGCTCTAACTTCACTTCTTCAGAAGTGAAGTGCCTCTTTGCCTCTTTGCACACCACCTGAAACACCCTCTCACCTTCTTCTGGTACTTTTCTTTATATCCCTTAGCAATATCTGAAATTGTCATTTATGTGCTTGTTTTCCTTCAACTAAAATGTAAGCAGCATGGGGGCAAGAGCTGTATCCACCATGTTTGCTTATATAACCACAACTCATAAAGGCGTCCCAGGCAAAAAATAAACTTAGAAATATTGTTTGAAGTAAGGAAGAAATGTGAAAGTCATTACACTATATCAGTGATAATCTTAAAATTACACAAGTTCACGCTAAGTATGGGAAAAAAAAGTTCCATATCTGTTCTTTAGAGGGTGGGGCAAAAAGTGTTGACTTCCTGCACCAGAGATCCCCAAAGTGTGATCTGGGCAGCCATGTGAGTCCCCAGGACCCTCTTAAGAGGGCCATGACGTCAAAACTATTTTTATCATAAAATTAAGAAATGATTTGTGTTTCTACTTACATTTTTTTCATGAACATAATGTGGAGTTTTCCAGAGATAATGTGATATCACAACAAATCAAATGCAGAAGCAGGTATAAAAATTCACCTATCTTTTCTAACATTAGATCTTGAAGAGATTTGCCAAAAATGTAGGTCGATGTCACTATTCTAATTTATGTTTTGGAAAATATAGTTTTTTTATTTTAAAATGTGTATGTATTCATTTCCTATTGCTTGGCATTTGCTGCTATAACAAATCACCACAAATTTACTGGTTTAAAACAATGCAAATTTGTTATCTTTTTAATAATCAGCCAGGGCTATCACTATCTTATAATTCTGGATTTCAAAAGTCCAAAATTGGTTTCTATAAAATAAAATCAAGTTGTGGTGGGTCTGCTTTCTGGAGAACCTAAGGGAGAATCCATTGCCTCATCTTTTACAGCTTCCAGAGGCTACTTGCATTCCTTGGCTAGTGGTCCCCTTCCATCTTTTAAGCCTGTAATAACCAGGTGTGTCTTTCTTACACTACACCACCCTGACACTGCCTCCTTCTTTCGATTACAATTATCCCTGTCATTATATTGGGCTTGTTTAGTTAATTCCAGATAATCTAGCAACCTCAAAATTCTTAATCACATCTGCAACATATTCACAGATTCTAGGAATTAGAATGTGGGCCATTGTTAGGGGCCATTATCCTGCCTACCACAGAATAGTAGCAAATAATGGGTTTATAGCTATTGTTTAATTTTTTCTAGATTTTATTAATTAATTTATTTACTTATTTATTGAGAGAAGAGAACGGAGGGAGAAAGAGAGGGAGATAAGTATGGATAGTTCAGTGTCCACTCGCATGCCCCAACTAGAGAACTGGCCTGCAACCCAGGCTTGTGCCCTGACTGGAAATTGAAAGAGCAACTTTTCAATTTTCAGTCCAATGCTCCATCCACTGAGCCACACCAGCCAGGGCTATTGCTGTTATTTTAAATAGATCAATAAATTTATAACTATAATAGTTACAAATTTTCATAATAACTACTTTAAAATTTCAGAGTTTAAATTTCCAATAATAATTACCAATAAACTATTGCCCACATAAATAAAAGCTCTGTGTACTCTTCAGTAATATTTAAGAGGTCATGAGACTAAACAATTTGAGAATCTGAGAATCACAGGCCTACACAATAGCTGCTTTCCTTTCTTCCATGCCTCAAATTAGACTAGATTATACTAAACTGATTATGATGGGCCTCTTCCCTTTGCTGTGATTGGTTTTAAAAGGGGCCTTGGCCAACGAAGGATAAGGGGAGGTCGTTGGGTGAGGGCTATTGGGTAAGATTACTTTACTCATTAAAACAACAAAAAAAGACTGACAAATGAATTGTCCCCTTTCTGCTCTGAATGATAGTATGTAAGAATGTGGAACCTGAAACAGCTAAATCTGTCTCAGGACCACAAGGGAGCCTATATACACCTGGGGTAACAAAGTAGGAAGATGGAAAGCACCTGAGCTCTTGATGCTGTTATTAACTTAATTAACTAACCCCAGATGGCCTGGGACTGCTTGTTATGGGATATAATTAATCCCCTTATCATTTAGGCCATTTTGAGGTTGTGTTTCTAT